TCGTTGGGTCACAGAGGTGCACAAGCCATCACACCACGTCAAGGTGTAGTCTCGTAGTGATGGCTTCACCAGCAGAGGCCATTCATGAGGATTGGTCACATGGGAGCCTTTTGCGAGACACAAGGGAGGAACGACCAGCCACAGACACTCATCCCGAGGCAGGTATTCCAGAAATCAACGAGTCCCAATTAGGATGCATATGTCGTGTTGCGACCAATTTCACGTAATCTTTCGTGTCGGTTTTAGACGATTCTGTTGTTGCCGGTGGAAGTACCAGTAACTAGTGGGTGAACCGCTATGCTTTACATATTGAAGTACAAATTATAAGGTAGTGGTTAATCTCTAAGTTTGCTCTCCTTGCCCGAAAAACACGTCGGATGATTGCGGTAAGATAGGAGTATAACCAAGTAGCGTATCGTAATAAGTAAGCAGTGGCTTAGACAGTGTTTTGAGATGAAAAATCCTAACCATTAAAAACCTCACCGCTTCTCCGAGGAATGTCGCCGACGCCCGCGAGCGTTTACCTATTGAGCCCGGGTTCTCTTGGCTTATTGTTAACCACCAGATTCGTAATCAACGCCCCATCTGCGAATTGTAGACACGTTCAGTAACACAAAAATCTGAGTAAATGAGCCTCAACATTCTCTTCATTTCTTCACTTGGACATACACTGGTAAAACTGTGGCGCTCATGCATCTACTTTTTACCCGTGCGACCCTGGTAAATACTAACTTTCCATCATTTTTATTTTCCTCTGAACATCTAACCATGGACTTACGGGGTTACGCATTCACGTGTCTGAGACTTACACTCACGTAAAGCTCTCTGCACAACGGCTAGCGATGTGCAAGATCTCTCAACGCGTGATCAAAGCTAGATTAGCGTTTAATCTGCGGTATCTCTGGCACCGGCTCGACATGTCCCTTTCATTGAGGGTGTGCTGTGCAGTGGCGCCGTATTGCTCTATGGCTGCGAAACCCGGCCTCTAGGAGCAGATCGCGTCCAACGACTATCCGCCATCGAAAACCGTCGTCTCCGCAAAATCTCCCGCATATGGCGGGGGCATCGCGTGAAGAACGATGTCGGATAGCTGACCAAAATAATTTCATATCATCGAGTCCGGTGGCTAGGGCACGTCCTACAAATGTCTGGAGCATCTGGTCATTGTGCTCCAAGGAAATAGAACACGCAGTGAACTACCATTACTCCTCACTTGATTAGGAGTGACCTACCTGGTGATCCATAATGTTCAACGGGCTTTTTCTCACCCGGAAACAACTTCTTCTCGTCACCATAAGAGTCAATGTGGTTGTACCAGCGCAACAGATTATGGTAGTCAGTTGCGGGCTTTTTGCCCACAGCCTCAAAAACTACCACATCCGCTTGGGAAGGTTGGAAGCTGAAAATGAAAGAGAAATGAGTCATATCAGGGAAAGATTACCGATCAGCGAGACGCGTAACCGCGAGGTTAATTTATTTTATACTGTCCACTAACAGGAGCATTAACTGCGTTTGACAATAGAATATCTTGCGCAAAAAATGTGGACAATCGGACTGGGTCCAGACAACGCCAAACAAATCACCGTATACATCTTCTAAACAAGCGCTTTGCAGAGCAAGATTCAACCGCTTCGATGTATACGGGTAATTTCACATGGTACAAAGAAGAATACACGTACATTAAAACCTGCATCCTTCGACTACCTGAAAAAGGAACCGCAGGACAGCGGCAGAAAGTTTAAGGAAAAACGCAAAATTCGAAGCGCTATGATGTAGTGAAACCAAGGGTGCGGCCATTAGATCCACGGTCTCCGTGGAGATACACAAGTACGACAAAGAGGCAGGTCGGGAAACAACTCGAGGGCGGTGCCAAGTCTATGGTAACAGGAACAGCCTCTGTAACACTGTACACATGAATAACCCGTTTGTAATTTTTATCCCAAGTGCAACGAACTGAATCAATGTCGATTGGGAGTGACTCTCGGGTTTGAGGCTGGCACCGGGGTCCCGGACCCTAGATCGTCTGTTTTCCGTTCGTGGAAAAGCAGCCTATCTGAGAAGGCAATTGCCAAATATTTCGTTTTAGGCCCACCGTACAGTTGTCAACACTGAATTGAAACTAGTTACCATTAGTGTGAACGTCACTCAGTCAGATTAATGATAACGAGCGGATTGGGAACTCAGTGGGACGAAATTTACCACTCAGAAATAAAACGACGAAGGTCATCAAAGAAGTTGAAGAGCAGAACAGTATTACGCAACGCGCCACGAAAATGACACATACAGCACACTCACCCTTCAACATAGCTCCTAGTTAGCAGATAGGCATCCAAAGCCTTGAGTCCAGAATCAGACTTCAAGTCACCGAAGCCCATGCTGCTGTGTAGCGCAACTAAAGTACAATGTAGTGATGCAGTAAAAGAAGCGTGCTTTAAATCAGCTTCCACAATGACAACTCTATTTCTGGGTCTCGAGGGCCAAACTTCCGAAGTCGGTAGACCTGATCGACAGTCACCCCCCCTTCAACTTTTTTATTTCGTTCAATTTTCAATTAAATTTTACATGGAAAATTTACTTGTAAAATATACAGCTCAAAAATGTATAATATCGAACATTATATTTATTTACCTCAATTTGTTTATATGTTCAATCACTTTTGTGCGCTAAAGATGTCACACTCGTCGTGAATGAGGTCCTTTTTATCACAAATTGTAGGAGGCTCTTGTGTTGAATACCTGCAAGACCGGAAACTGTTAGCAAAAAAGCGTGACTGTGTCTGTGGTCACGTTATGACCCTACAGGAATCGGCCAATTCACTCGATGGATGGAAAGGGATATTTCGAAAAGGTAGACAACCGATCGGCAAGCACACTATTGCCAATCATACAACGATGGGTTATGCCTGGTACCATCATTTACTCAGATGAATGGGCAGCCTATCGAACGCTGTCGTCCTTGGGATATACGCACTTGACGGTGAACCATTCCCGAGGATTCATCAACCAGGCGACAGGAGCCCACACCAACAACGTGGAAGGCTACTGGAGCCGGATAAAGAGGAGACTGAAGGCAGTTTCTGGCTCCGTTGGTGATAGGAGGTGGGAACATCTAGACGAAGTTCAGTACCGCTACTGGTTTCACTTTTCGCCCTCTAACATTGAAATGGACATCCAAACCTTTTTGCAGCACATCAGTGTGCGTTATCCCATCGATTAATGTGCTTATTGTTATTTTACTCTAATTATTTTTATTTAATAAATTTTTATGCACGGTTTCTCGTCTTTTGTTCATGGAAATGGAATATAAGAGCGACCATGCTACTTATGAGTAGTCAGTTTAATATTGCGACTATAGCTTGGGGGGGGGTGACTGTTGATCAGGTCTACCCCGAAGTCTTATGTATTCGAGGAGTTTTATATAAACAATATAAACAAGTGCGGTGCATTCCAACGCGGAGTGATTTAAAGTGTTTTATTTCAGATCTCAAATTTAGAGGCACAAGAAGATCTTCTCCTGTCTGCCTGTCCTTGGACTTAGTTGCCCTCTATTTGGATCCTTTTGTGAATTCCATTTTTTTAGTTGTGAATTAGAGTTGTGAGTTAGATCCCTTTTAAGTGTTCTGTTGACAATCGGAACTAGCCATCATTGTCTTGAAGTCTTGAAGAAATCTTCGGGTTCGAGGATTATACCCAATGGTCCTGGTTCTGCGTTGGTCTTCTTTTCGCTATTCAATTCACGAGCTGAATGGGAGGTTAATGGCAAAGAGTAGGGCTCCACTGCAGTGCCGCTGAGTTTAGGTCAAGTTAGATTATGTCACAGGACTAGCGGCTGATGCCAAATGAGCGTCCAGTTTCTTTCGCAGTCGAGCTCCAGTGTTCTCGATGCGCTTCAACAGCTTTTGAAATTCTCACCTCACCAGCAGGGGCTGTAGTGTCTAACTTTTCTGTACAGTTTTATGACGTGATTGTACAGCTTGTTTAATATGCACAACAAGTAGCAATACAAAATTATGCTCATAACTGCGCACGTATTCTCCGAGTGTTGCTGAAGCATTATTCGTACATTATCAGTTATAATCAAGCGTTCCGTTAACTATCGCAGCCATCCCTTTCAGCAATACCGCATACTATCAACCAGAGCCGCGCATCTGAAGAACATGACCAATCAACCAGCCGGACAATCCTTCTGTAAGTCCGTTCCATGTACCGTTTATTTCATTATTATCCTTATATGTAGGTTTTTTCTCTACAGGATCAGTTGAACGTTTGTCCGGTAAGGACTGCTATTTGCGTGTAACATGAAAAAGACATATTGGAGTCACCTTGGCCTACTCTTGTTTAGCCTCGTCTGTAATTGAATGTCAAATTTTTCATACCACCCGAGGTGCTCGTACATACAGCCGCGAATACGTTCACACACGTCCACACCCATACTTGCATACGTGCATCCAGTCTTGCGTATGTATCAATGTTTACTGGTAAACATCTTTAATGGTCCCATAGCGAGAATGACAGTACGACGCTGAGTGCTTGGCGAAAGCTCTAACTATACTCAGGGTATGTCATAAACAGGGTACGCATAATGTGATGGTTTTCGAAAGCTTTTGTACACAATACTTTTCTAATTCCAGTATCGTCCTTTTCTTATCTCTTCTTTCTCTTTTATGAACTCATCATTTAAAAGTTGTTTTAACCGGCCTCCTCATTACCCGCTCGGTATCTGTGCGGTCTCGCTCCGTGATTTTCTCAATTGTTGGTCGTTCTGTAACTGGGACCTACGACGGTTTTTTAACTCGCAAATATGTATTGATGTATGTCTATAAAAGAAACGAAATTTCAACTGTCTTTCAACTGTTTTCCTACGTGCTGGAAATTTGGTCAGTCGAAGTCGAGACATTGCGATTCGTATTGAACGTTGTTCGGATTGCCGTTACATTCAGCGCTGTAGTAAAGAACGTTCTGGCTAAAACAGCAGAATAGAGTGGAACAGGCGAGGGCCTGAGCAGGTTTAGCATTTAGAAGGCTGGTGGACACAAGGCGTTTACTAGAGGTTAATCGCCCCTGGGGCCGTCGGTGTAACACTCATATGTACGTCACTACAACTAGAAAAACATCAGAATCATTACAGAACTTTGAGTGCACCTTGTGTCGGAAATCCCACCCACTTACTAAATGTGAGGGTTTCCTCAAGTCGAATGTGTTGGAGAGACGGAAAATTGGGGAGAAATTAAAGCTTTGTTATAAGTGCATTAAATATGGACACCTGGAGCGCGCATGTGAAGAAAATGGTAAATGCTTGTTTGATGGTTGCACCGGCAACCACCATAGCCTGCTTCACTTGTTGCCTAAGGATCAAGTGTCCGCGAATGTGCAAGCAATCGTAGGGGATCCCTGATCCGCGTCGAATGATATTACTTACCTCGGAATAGTCCTGGTAAAAATAGTGCACGGCGACAAGTCGTTGACGGTATATGTCTTGCTAGATAGCGGTTCGGATACCATAATAGTTAGTAAGGAAGTTTCCGAACTGTTACGGCTAATTGGTTTGGGAGTACGAATGAAAAGAATATTGAGGGATAGGATGGCGCAGCACCTCGTAACTCACGATTTGCTGTCGGGCAAGCAGCATGGCTTTTTTAAGGGGAAGTCGTGTTTGACGAACCTACTAGCATTTCTAGACGAGGTTACGGCCAGGCTGGATAGAGGACAAGGAGTCGAAGAGTGCTACCTTGATTTTCAGAAAGCATTCGAATCTGTCGACCATCGTCTTCTGGTGCGAAAAATACAGGCAATCGGCTTTAGCCCCTGCATCGTTAGGTGGATCGATGAATACCTCCGGGGGAGAACCTTCCACGTTAGGGTGGAGGGGGCCAAGTCGGGTAGAGCAGCCGCGTGCAGTGGCGTTCCCCGGGGATCGGTATTAGGGCCGCTACTCTTCATCATCTACATCAACGATTTGCCCCAAGAACTGGAAGGGCCGTGTTTTGTGTTCGCGGATGATAGTAAGTTAGTTGGGGACCCCATCTCAGCGAAAAAGCAACAAGACCTAGACCGTCTGCAACAGTGGGCGATGGATTGGGAGCTTCCACTGAACACCAATAAGTGCAAAAAGCTTATATTCCAGGGAGGCCAGCCACCATCAAATAACAGGCGACTAAACCCGGATAATCCTCAGGCAATAACCCAAACAGAGCAGATGCGGGATCTGGGAGTGTATTGATCGATCTGTGAAAATCCTTCCTGTAAAGCCCAGTCATTCCATCTCGGT